AAATGCTTGAAGAGATGGAGAACATGGGGTTTTGATAGCAGATAATGGTGGTAGGGGATGAAGATTAGGGGCGATTTTTTTGTAAGGATATATCAAAGACTCAATTAATGTTTTAATCACAAATAAGTAGCCCCTACATTCCTTAAAATAGGTGTAAAAATGTTATATAAATAAGATATGATTGTATGTGGTGTAAATTCCTCAATAAATAAATTATACCAACTAAAAATAAACAAAATAAAACAAACTTTGTTTGATTACCTCAAATCACACAAAAATCAATACAAATTTTATCTTCAAGTCTTCACAATTAAATACATGAGTTGTACCTCTTTGAAATCATATAATTCTCTTATTTGTACGTTAATATTTCTATTTTTTTTTTCAAATTTTCAGAATATCATATGTGAAATATCTATGTATTTTTTATCCATAAATACAATCAAATGTCATGTTCGAATTATATGTTGTCTTTTTTTTTCTTTACTTTCATTTTTTTCATATTCTTGGTTGATATTTGTAAAAGGAACTTAAATTCATATTATTCTTTTTGTCCATGTAAAGGTTATCCACTATTTTGAGTATTTTCGAGATACATATCATATGGTATGCAAGTTCATCCCCAATACCCGTAGATGATACTATTTTATTTTTAAAAACTCATCCTTTTTAGTTGAATAAATTGCATTGTTATGACAAATATAATTTTATTCTCTCTCTCTCTCTCTCTCTCTCTCTCTCTCTCTCTCTCTCTATTTGTATTTTTCTATTACTCAAAGAAATTTAGTAGAAAGGAAATAACAATATATAAAATAGTATTTTGAAAGTTTGCAATTTGTTATTAACTAGATTAATGAATTCTTGTATCGAAATTTAGATAGTTGAGAAATATCATCAATAATAAACATAGTTATTTTTATTATGTGGTAAACCATTGGTATTTTGTTTTAATTACTAAAGTATATTATTTGTAATCCATATTAGATTATAATAATATCATAATATATTTATACATAAACTTATCTATACTGATAAATGTGTTATTTTGATTTAAGTGTACAAAATATTTATTTTTATTGTTTGAAATTATCCACATAGGATTTAAAAATTTATTTCAAAGCCATGAATATCGGAGTGCAAGTCCAAATGCATAATTATGTGGGATCTTAATTATTTACGTAAACAAATGATTATACTCATTGTTTTAATGATATATCTGAAAACAAAAAACTCCCTGACCGGCTGGAATCCAAATAATCGCATTCCTTCTCGCCGTTTGAACATCGTGCACCTACAAAGAACTCTCACATCGGTGGGGTTTTCCGGTGAAGAGCCTCCAATGCTTAAGTCGGTATGTATGCAATCAATTCTCAAGAGTAAGCAATAGAATGATCATCTTCAACAAGAAAAGCTCACCCCATTTAAATAGGGGTGAGATACCTGCCCTAGAAAGCTTCCCGGATCTGCTGAGCTGGCTGTCGGGGGTCTGCCCGTACACATAGTGTGCGTGTGTCAGAGAGTCGTCGCCACTATCCTTTGCACCAATACTTTTGCGCCACGTGTCCTCTTCACATGGGTAAAATATTCCCGCCTTGATCCTCCTGACGTCACTCTGACAATTCCGTTAGAGACTCCCCTGATTGACCTTATCCGAGTCAATCTCTCACGTCCTGCTCTCCATACTGGGTGCTCGACCATAAGGTCACCCCCTAATTTCTATATCGACCATCTGAACAACTCTTCGCTCGATCTCTCTCCCCATCGACCAGGATTTCTCTCTGTAGGTTGTCCCATGTATCGAGATTCTTGTCTTTTCAATCTTGGGATAATCCGATTGTGGTCGTGTTCCACTCGTTGGACCGGTTTACCTGTTGAGGTATAATATCCTATATCAATATCATAGTTATAAATTGACAAAATTTATTTGTAGATAATATATATTGTTTTGAACAATAAGTCTCTTCTAATTTAATAAACTGTATTATATGTAAGATCTAACTTTTATTATCTTTGTCATCGCTTTCCCATTGTATCTTCTTCTATATATTTTGTTTATATGTATAATATGTTTTAATACAAACATGTCGATCTCATAAACATTTATGAATTGAAGTTTTGAAAGAAACATTATTTTTATTGATATTCCAATTGTATATATATGTTTATACCTTTATTTGAGAATAATAGTTAATATTTATAATTGTATGTTTTGTTATTATAATTTTTGCAGCGAAAAATTTACTCAATGAATTACTCAATGAATTAAACATAAAGACATCATATAAAAATGACAAATTTTAATCTTCTAAATTTTATTAACTTTTATTTTGCCGCATTATATAATTAACTGTGTTAGGTTATATATTATGTAGTTAAGAATTTACTATTTCAAAATGATCCACCAATGTGAAAGATGTATAAATAAAATTAAGACTACATTAGGTCCTTATATTGTGGTTCTATAATGAAAAGATATTATGATTTATTGATTTTATAATTGAAAAACTCAAAGTGGATGGTTTTTAAAAATTTAATGGATTAATCAATTGAGGATAATTAATAGATAATTTGACATTCATCATAATATTACTGTTTGTTTGATCTCATTATTAATTGTATTGAGATGTGTATAATTAGCACAACATTCTAAACAATTGCCAACTTATTCAGCATTCTCAATAATATTATTCTAGTGTAAATAATTCCAATAGAGCTTTAAATTTTTGGACAATATTTATTGGATTGATCAAACCATTAATGATTATCATTTAATATAAAGTGGGAGGAAAAACAAAACTTCTTCCAGCTGCTTTGCTTTTATATATACAAGTACGCCACCCGCGCGATGCGCGGCATGATATTAAAAAGGGAATAATGTCAAAAAAAAATTGGTTATCGTAATAAAAAAAATGCTCTTGCAATATAAAATAAGAAAAAAGTAAATTATTTTATTACACATTCTGGAACACTTCCTTAAATACAACATTATTAGTAGAAGAACCGGGCTCACTATCACTATCGCCATCACAAATAACAATTTTTAGACCCTTGGGATTCGTTACTCTAGAAACATCAACATATAATTGTCCATGATTAAATATAGGTTTCTTCAACAACAATCCCACGCTAGTCAAAGATTGTTCTTGACTTTTATTGATAGACATTGCGTAAGACACCATAATTGGAAACTGTCTTTGCTGAAACTTGAATGGAAGTCTCGGATTTGAAGGCGTCAATGACATTCTTGGAATAAGAACTTTTTGACGTGAACTTTATGCTCCAAGAACTTCACCCTCGATAACATGATTTCCAAGTTTTGTGACAATTAATCGAGTTCTATTGCACAAACCAAGAGAAAGGGTCAACATTGCGAAGCAGCATTACAAGCGTCCCGACTTTTAAATTCAACTCATGATTTGGGACGCCAGAGCACTTAATTGAATTGAGGAACTCTGGAGTCTGGATATCATTAACCACACTTACATTATTATCAGAATGACAGAGAGAATCGGAACTCAAATATCTTTTTGCCTCCGAAGCATTTAACGAAACCATGTAATCATTAACAGAGTTCACCACATCGAGAGTTGGAGCTAATATAGCTCTTTCCATGAAATAAGAATGATCACTCGGGTTAGTTCGAAATGTGGGAAAAACAGCGTCAACAACTGTTGCGATCGGAACGTCAAATTCCTTCACCAAAAGCATGTTTTTAAATTAATTTTGAGAGTATCAAATAATTTTATTTGAAAACTTATACAAATATTATATGAGCACTGTGTGTACAAGAAAAGTGATGGAAACGTGGTGGTGTTTCTAGTGTTGTACGTGGATGATATTCTTCTCATTGGAAACAATGTGGAGATGTTGTCAGACGTAAATGTATGGTTATCCAAGCAGTTTGATATGAAGGATTTGGGTGAAGTAGGACATGTTCTCGGAATCAAGGTTATTCGCGACCGAGAGAAGAGAAAGTTGTGCCTATCCCAATCCACATACATAGACACTGCCCTAAAGCGTTTCAACATGCACGATTCCAAAAAAGGGGATTTGCCCTTTCGACATGGAATACCTCTATCAGAACAAAGAAGGCATATCAATTCTATCACCAAACTGGTCAGTAGTACTGGGGCAACTTATGACAACCCAGTAGATGTTGAGAACCACATAGTCAACTTTTATTCTAATCTGTTCACTTCAGAAGGATCTAGAGGGAGTAATGAGCTTCTTCAGCACATTCCAAGGACTGTTTCTGATGCTTCTAACTCAGATCTGCTGAGACCTTTTAATGAAGAGGAAATCAAGGCTGTGGTGTTTAATATGGCTCTTGAGAAAGCGCCAAGTGATGATGGTATGACAACTATATTTTTTCAGAAATTTTGGCATATTGTTAAGAATGATGTGTGTAGAGCTGTGTATTATTTCTTTGATTCTGGGCATATGCTGAAAAATTGGAAACACACCATTATAACTCTGATTCCTAAGTGCATGTACCCTGATTCTTTGAGCAAATTTAGACCTATCAGTCTGTGTGGGGTGCTTTATAAGATTATTGCCAAGTTGTTAGCTGATAGATTAAAGATGTGTCTGGATGATTGCATTAGCCACTCTCAAACTGCATTTGTGCCTGGGAGGTTGCTGTTAGATAATGTTGTGATTGCCCATGAGCTGTTTCACTATTTGCATAGACATAGAACTGGGTCTAATGTGTTTATGGCAATTAAACTGGATATGGAGAA